TATGGTGTACAAATTTTTGCACCTCATGTTTGCGGTATACCATCTTTTCCGCAAGTTTATTGTTTTCTGTTTGATAATAATTTAATAATAAGATCTGTTTTGTTACATCTTGTGATCCGTTTATTTGACTAACGTGAATGGCAGTCAGCAGGTTTTAAGAACATCAGTTGTTCGACCTGCTAGTCAAATGCGTTTTGTTAAAATATACATTTTCACTCATTTGGTCTTTTGGAAAATGTTGTTTGTGCTGTATTTAGACCCCTCTTTCAAGAAATTTGTTTTGCATGCACACGAATAAAAATTGCGGTTTTTATCCAACGCAATCATAGGTTTGAACGTTGTTTTCAATTTAGACTTGTTTATATTATTTCGTTTGGGCTTGTATTATATTTGCCTTCGGGTTTATATGATCCGTTCATCCTATTTTGACTCTTTCAAAATTCAAGAGTCTATCCTCAATTGAGGTAAATTTAATGCATTTCCAAATACCGTTTCGATTCCTAACATCACTGAAGAGACATTAATTGTCGAAATCCGGATATGGTGTACAAATTTTTGCACCTCATGTTTGCGGTATACCATCTTTTCCGCAAGTTTATTGTTTTCTGTTTGATAATAATTTAATAATAAGATCTGTTTTGTTACATCTTGTGATCCGTTTATTTGACTAACGTGAATGGCAGTCAGCAGGTTTTAAGAACATCAGTTGTTCGACCTGCTAGTCAAATGCGTTTTGTTAAAATATACATTTTCACTCATTTGGTCTTTTGGAAAATGTTGTTTGTGCTGTATTTAGACCCCTCTTTCAAGAAATTTGTTTTGCATGCACACGAATAAAAATTGCGGTTTTTATCCAACGCAATCATAGGTTTGAACGTTGTTTTCAATTTAGACTTGTTTATATTATTTCGTTTGGGCTTGTATTATATTTGCCTTCGGGTTTATATGATCCGTTCATCCTATTTTGACTCTTTCAAAATTCAAGAGTCTATCCTCAATTGAGGTAAATTTAATGCATTTCCAAATACCGTTTCGATTCCTAACATCACTGAAGAGACATTAATTGTCGAAATCCGGATATGGTGTACAAATTTTTGCACCTCATGTTTGCGGTATACCATCTTTTCCGCAAGTTTATTGTTTTCTGTTTGATAATAATTTAATAATAAGATCTGTTTTGTTACATCTTGTGATCCGTTTATTTGACTAACGTGAATGGCAGTCAGCAGGTTTTAAGAACATCAGTTGTTCGACCTGCTAGTCAAATGCGTTTTGTTAAAATATACATTTTCACTCATTTGGTCTTTTGGAAAATGTTGTTTGTGCTGTATTTAGACCCCTCTTTCAAGAAATTTGTTTTGCATGCACACGAATAAAAATTGCGGTTTTTATCCAACGCAATCATAGGTTTGAACGTTGTTTTCAATATAGACTTGTTTATATATATATTGACATGATATTTTGTCCTTGATAACAAGTTATGGAGAATATGGGTAACTGATTTGTCATTTGTGTCATACTTCTATATCGGTTGAACACTTGCTGCATGTTATCTATGAGCGAATGGTTCATATGTACATCTCTACCAATCTTATTTGCCACCGTTGAGAAAAAATTCCGGAAGTGTTTGAAACAAGATTTTTGGTAGTTGTGCAAAAGCTACTGTTTTGTTCCCCACTTCAGAACATTTTTTTTTAAAATATCCTGGAAACCGTTTTGTTTTGGTAGTGTGTGTTGAATTCGCTGCTTTCTGTATTTTTGCTGTTTTTGAGTTTCCCTTATGGAGAATTGTGCATAAAACAAAGTATCATCTAAACTCACTACTCATGCATGGTTATCATTGTTTCTTTGGATGTCTTTTTAAATTATTCTCAGACTTCATGTTTGTATAACCGAAAGAAGAGTGACGTTAGGAAATTTTACAATAATTCAAAAAGTGCTGTATATGAACATTAATGAATGTCTTTTTAAATTGAATATATTTCTTGTTTTAAATGTTTCTTTATTCTTAAATAATGTTTCATTATTTCAAGTACCCAAATCGATTGTAGACTTTCAAATTTACAGCTTAATCCGATATGGCAGTTAAAAATGCGAAAGATAATATATGCATCTTACACTCAACTACAAAAGAAGCTATTTTACTAAGTTTAGCCGGAGGACAATAATCCGATTATTATTGCATAAGATCGAACAATAATAGATATATTTTATCAGAACACTTGGTAATGTTTTAAGATTATTAACTTTGGATGAGTGTATGATTGTTTTGTAAACTGTTGCTTGGAAGTCTTCCCCTAGCTTTCAAGGTGTAAACTTGTGTGAATACATTTGTATATATTGTATACGGTCTTGCGTTTAAAGCAGCCACTGTGTCAATAATTGACCAACAAACTTTAGTGTAACCCGTAGAAATTTACGGGGTTATATTTGCGCAAGATTGTTAATGCATATCCAGTATGTTTAGTGTACGCACGTGAGTGTACGTGACTTACCGTTTTTGGAAATGTGGCTGCATGTTTGTTAAACAAAATTATGAATGCATTTTCATAGTCTGTGCAATAATTATCTTTATACATTAGGTGACCTTACTACATTGAGGAATATTTAGAAAATAGGTAACTTCTTTATGGAAATCCCTCAAGCATTGGAGCGTATACACAGCTAGCTGTTTTCCCTTAACAGCTGCTTAACGGATCAGTTTAAAAGTGTTAACGTAATCACATAAAAGTTAATCCAAAGTTCTTCTTCTTCTTCCTGGTACGGGAAAGACTCCGGTGCCGGAGTGTGGAATATCCCGGAACTGTGGCGCTATGTACATGCAAATGGATGTCGAAAATTTTGTTATAATAAAATAAAAATATTTGCCACAGTTCAATTACAATTTAAAATAACATTAGTTGTAGCTTAATGTTAAACATATTCACATTATGTACAGTGGCTTAAATACACTAATTAATTAGCCAGACTAGAACCTCCAAATGTTAAGGTGGAGATACCACCTTTGAAGGATTCTAGGGAGGGTGACATGCAAATTGTTTCTGGGAGATCGTTCCAGACAGCAATAGTACTTGGGAAAAAAGATGATTTAAAAAAGTCTTTATTTGTATATATATGTCGAAATTTATGTAGGCCTCTAGTTCGCCTGTCAGATTGTGTCAGGACGTCATTAGTGACTTCGACCAACCCCCGATTAATCTTATAAATCAAGACAAGCTTAGCTTTTGTTCTACGGGATTGCAAGTTTTCCCATTTTAGTTTGTTTAACATACCAGTGACAGCGCCTGGTGATCTATCGTTATAGTCATTAAAAACATATTATGCTGCCTTACGCTGTATCTGCTCAATTTGGTTTATTTGGCTTTGTTTGTACGGATCCCAAACTGGTGAGGAGTACTCGACGGTCGGACGCACAAGTGATGTGTACGTAAGGTTTTTAACCTTACGTATACAATGTTTCATGTTTCTACGTAAAAATCCTAGTGTTTTATTTGCCTTTGAAGTTATATTATTAATATGGGGCCCCAATCAAGATCATTGCTTATTGTAACTCCTAGATACTTGCTGTCTTTGACAGATTCAAGTACATGGTTATGTAATTTATATTGAAATAAATTAGTTTTCGACTTTTTAGAAATATTTATGACATAGCATTTTTCAGGATTAAATTTCATTTGCCATTCAGATTCCCAATTTTCAAGGCTTGATAGATTTTTTTGGAGTGCTTGAGACTCATTTATATTATTTGATGTTTCATAAAGTAAACATTCGTCAGCAAAAAGACGAACCTTACAGGAGACATGCTCAGGTAGGTCGTTTATGAATAACAAAAATAAAGTTGGGCCTAATACTGTGCCCTGAGGAACACCAGAGTCAACAGCTAATTTGGAAGATTGAACACCGTTAAGCAGGACTTGCTGTTGCCTGTTTGACAAAAAATCTTTTATCCAAAGTAAGTTATTTTCACGTATACCATAATACTTAAGCTTTGTTATTAACCTTTCATGGGGGACCTTATCAAAAGCTTTAGAAAAATCTAAAAGTATTGCATCAACTTGATTACCTTCTGCCAAGTATTTGGCTATGTCCTGGATGCTGATAACAAGTTGTGCTTCACAGGAACGTTTACTCCTAAAGCCATGTTGGCAATCATTTAAAATATTATTTAAATCTAAATGTTTTCTAATATTACTTGTTAAAACGTGTTCTAAAACCTTACAACATATAGCCGTTAAAGAAACCGGTCTATAGTTAATTCAAGTGCATTATGCTTATCTCCCTTTTTAAAAATTGGCACAACATTTGCCTGTTTCCACTCTTCTGGGATTTTCCCATCATTTATGGATCTTTGAAAAAAGAATACAAGGAAGGGGGATATCTCTTCCGAGAGTTTATTGAAAATAGCAGGGATATTATCAGGCCCACTAGCTTTATGGGGGTTTATATTTTTAAGGAGTTTAATTATGCCATTGATATTAATGGTTATATCTGGCATGGTGGGGAAGGCGGGACTTATAGGTTTATGTGGCATTGAAGTTTTGTCTTCTTTAGTAAATGCACCTTTAAATTGTTCATTTAAAATATTTGATTGTGTTTGTGGATCACTATAAAGTAATCCATCTTTACCTCTCAAAGGTGAGACTCCTGATGTTTCAGTCTTTTTCCCTTTTATGTATTGCCAAAATGATTTTGGTTTTTCCTCCGGTTGTGGACTTATGATTTCTTCCATATATTTACTTTAAGTTAAAATGTAACATTCATTTACGCAAAATCATTTACATTAAATGGTGATATGATGAGTCCTATTATATTTGGCATGAAACATTAATAATATTTAAAAACAGATGACATTGACTTTTTGGTCCGGAACATTTCATCGTTTTGAATCCGAAGTCGACTATTTATTTTTGTGTGAACTGGTTTACTACTTATTTACAATTAAGAGCTATGCAAAAATAACAATACTTGTTATCATGAAACCAGTACGACCTATATTTTGAACTAAAGCATGCAAGGTTAACATTGGGACATGAATTTAGTGATAAAACCGTCTTTAAGAGTTAATAGATTTGGTGTAGTCAATTTCCACAAGGTTACTGCTCCATTCGTTACGCTTATTGGTACTAAATGTAACAGTGGTGCGTTGAAAATCTGCAAGAACACAAAATATCAGTTCTCAAACCGGCAAACGTTTCACACAACCGTATCTCTTAGAACGAAGGGGAGAGAAAAATATACCGGATTAGGTCCAGGATCAATTTATATTTACAGAATCGGTCTTTTCTTCGTCTCCTTTCTAGTGTTAAGCAAAGTTACAACACACTTCCTTGTTACTTCTGAATACAGTGCTTATGACGAGGAAGACTACTGTAAGAATGAACTTTCTTCTAAAAAAGAAGTGAACTCAAATAATCTAACTCCGAAATAAATTCTTACTTAATGCTTAAATAGATCAGATGAAATTTGATATTGAATAATCTGTTTCTTAAAGTCAGGAAGTGATATGTAGGTTCAAATATTTAAATTTGAAAAATTAGATTCCTCAAATACTTTCAGATTCATTGAACTAGTTTAAAACAATTTGTGTGTACATGTATGTATGTCATGTATGTATACCTATTTAACACAGATATTTATGTGAAATAGAAATCGGTGTGCATGAATTAAGCTGTAGCCTTGTTCTTCAGAATTTCAAGGATGAGTTGTAGGCATATTAGGAGTGCATGTTTTATGTCTATAACTAGCAAACCTCTCAACACGAAGATGTCAAATATTCATACATGTACCTTCAATGCCTGCAAAAAAATACTTGAAAGGAGATTTATACAAAGGATACACTACCAGAACTACAAAAACGCAGAAAGATTTTCAAAATATGGACAAACTTCTAATAAAAAAGTGCCTTGGTCTAAAGTTTTAAAAGTGATAACTTGCATCGGTGTTTCTGCATCATGTGTATTGGCTCTGGCAAAAAGCAAGCGAGTATTCTCTGTTGGTAAATGTGAAGAAACAGATAAAGTGGAGGAAGAAAAGTCTAGAGATGCCTTAACTAATTCAATGAAAATGTCCAAAGCCATAAATAAAGCAAGAGACCTTATCCAGCGAATAAAGGTAACTTACATTTATAAATTATATATGTTTCCTTGCATTGTCATTCTTGAGAAATAAACTTGTGTATCTAAAATATTTATTTAAAACAACCTCCCCAAACAAGCTTTCTGAATCTGGCAGTAACTGTACATTGTATATATAGTGAAATGGGAAGGTGTGTTTGCTGCTTGTTCTTTCTTTTTTCACACTTGTGTGTCTGCAATTGCTCCTAAACTGCTTACATGTAACCAAATTTACTTTGAAACAATGTGTTGTCATATTCACACACATTCAATACACATTTTGTAACTATGCCTCATCTAACATGTCTAACATGTCTAAGGCCATTAATCATATTTTTCAGATTTTAATGAAAATTTCTTAAAATCTTTACCATATAACATGTATAATGCAATTGTGCTTCTTCTGGTTTTTATTTTAATCCAAATTATGTTATGGGTTTTCCTAAGGTAGCAATATATATATATAAACATGATAAATATGATAAAAATAAAATTGATTTTATGATAGCTCAAGAATAATAAGATAGACATCTAAACTACATGTACATGTAGGTTTATATGAACATCAAGCTTGTTTCACTGGATGTTAAGCAACCAACAATCAATCAATCAAGCTTGCTTTAAAATGTATGATTCATCATTTTTATAGGCAAAATTTCTGTTTGACTGTCCAAAATTATTGTAAATATATGCGAACATTGTTTTCAACATGTTCAAACACTTTTATTCAGAAAAACTTTTTCAGGGCTTTTTGTAAAAAGTTGAGGCAAAAAGCATATAATATTTATTTAATCATGTTAATATATATACATGTAACATGATGTACATTGTAAATGGTTCTAGAAAAGGTGTCATTCAAATATTTGAATTTCTACTTTGGACCAATTTTTTGGGAACATGTGACATGTTCACACTTTGTGACCTTTTTGTAATGTTATATCCTGTATATCGTGCCAAAAAAAGGCAGATTTTTGTCATGGATAAACAAAAATGAAATTATATTTCGTCGTATTATCTACTGGAAATCAAATCTATGGAAGATACATGTCATGCATGTACTGATTACATACATTTTTGTACATGCATACATCATGTATATAGATATAAGAAGATGTGGTATGAGTGCCAATGAGACAACTCTCCATCCAAGTCACAATTTATAAAAGTAAACCATTATACATGTAGGTCAAAGTACAGTCTTCAACACGGAGCCTTGGCTCACACCGCACAGCAAGCTATAAAGGGCCCCAAAAATAACTAATGTAAAACCATTAAAACAAGAAAACCAACGGTCTAATCTATATAAAAAACGAGAAACGAGAAACACTTATGAACCACATTAACAAAGAACAACTACTGAACATCAGATTCCTGACTTAGGACAGGTGCAAACAATTGCAGCGGGTTTAAATGTTTTAATGGTACCAAACCTTCACCCTTATCTGAAACAATAGTGTAGGTTACAATAAACCATTAGATTTTATGGGCGCAGCTATTTTATGAAGATAACATGGTATTCAGAATTAAGAGTATAGCTAATCCTGATTGGTTGATATGTGCGCCCGTTATTTTTTATTATTAGAGACTTTGTGCATTCTGCATTATACCAAAGGCCAAATAAATTATTTTCTTTAGCCCTAACCATGCTAACGGAACTGAGATGTCTTTTCAACGCAAGGATGAGACACGTATTTTTAAGTGCAAAATTGATAGGCATGGGAGATAAGTACAAATTACGCTAAGAAAAGCAACACGAATCTATATTTTTTTTACCAAAAAAATACTGTCCTAATAACTTTTCTTTAATTCTAGCAAGGTTTCGTGATACAATGTAAATACAAAATCAATAAAATAAGGGAGGAATAATTAAAGTAACAGTATTATACCACTGTGAAATGTTAAGCAAGTTTAGAAAAAACAACAATAACCTTAAACAAAAATCCACCATTTACAATAATACATGTATTATACACAGGAAAATGAAAATAATTTTATTGTAAGGTATACAGTTTAAAAGGAGAAAGGAAATATGTTTACAAAATAAATAATTTTGATTTGCATAGTTCGAAGAAGTGAAAATTTATAGTAATACCAACCACTTATCAAAGCTGGTATATAGACCAGATATAACCCTGAATAAGCATGATAAGTAAACATTAAATATCATGTACATGTTTGCACATAAATATTCATATCACAAACATAAACATGATAAAGCATAATTTATTAGAAAGCATAAACAAGAAATTAGTTGAAAAATACAACATGCATGAGGATCAATTTGAATTGTTTTCCAACAATATTATTATACATGTATAATCTCAATCAGGGGTAATACATACATGACATATATACATTGTACAAGTCATATTTATTTACTTGAAGATGTATTAAAGTAATAATACTAATATTTCTCTTGAGGTAATATCTAATATATATTTCAAAATAAATCTATTAGATTTATTAAAGATATGCATATGGGAAATAGAACTTCTGTAAATTTTGATGTACTACAGGGATTGAAGTTAAAATTTTGGCATGGTAGCCCACAGCTAAAATTTTGGTAGCCAATATACAAGTTCTATACAAGAAAAGCAGAATTTCTAGTAGTCCACACCAGATTTTAAGGGCCATTGACGAGTGGGCCCCTGCTAATTTCAAACCCTGTACTAATAGGATTGTTTTTAGCTCACCTGGCCCGAAGGTCCAAGTGAGCTTTTCTCATCACTTGGCGTCTGTCGTCGTCGTCCGTCGTCGTTAGCTTTTTACAAAAATCTTCTCCTCTGAAACCACTGGGCCAAATTTAACCAAACTTGGCCACAATCAATATTAGGGTATCTAGTTTAAAAAATTAGTCCGATGACCCCGCCAACCAACCAAGATGGCCGCCATGGCTAAAAATAGAACATAGGGGTAAAATGTAGATTTTGTCTTATATCTCTGAAACCAAAGCATTTAGAGTAAATCTGACATAGGGTAAAACTGATAATCAGGTCAAGATTTATCTGTCATGGAATTTTCAGACAAATCTGACAACCTGTTGTTGGGTTGCTGCCCCTGAATTGGTAATTTTTCGTAAATTTTGCAGTTTTTGGTTATTATCTTGAATTATTATTATAGATATAGATAAACTGTAAACAGCAATAATGTTCAGCAAAGTAAGATCTACAAATAAGTTGTCATGACCAAAATTGTCAGTTGACCCCTTTAGGAGTTATTGCCCTTAATAGTCAATTTTTAACAATTTTTCGTAAATTTTTGTAATCTTTTACAAAAATCTTCTTCTCTGAAACTACTGAGACAAATTTCACCATACTTGGCCATAATCATTATTAGGGTATCTAGTTTAAAAAAATTGTCTGATGACCCCACCTTTCAACCATCATGGCCAACTTGGTTAAAAATAGAACATAGGGGTAAAATGCAGTTTTTGGTTTATACAATGTTATATCTCTGAAACTAAAGCATTTAGAGCAATTCTGACAGGTGGCAAAAATATTCATCAGATTTAGATTTATCTGCCCTGAAATTTTCAGACGAATCTGACAACCCGTTTTTGGGTTGCTGCCCCTGAGTTAGTAATTTTACAAAAATTTTGCAGTTTTTTTGTTATTATCTTAGATATCATTATAATATCTAATATCTAATACTATTAATTATGATTTTAACCTTTTTTTACATGATTTCCAAAGCATCAGTAAATACAGGTGAGCGACACAGGCTCTTGAGAGCCTCTAGTTTTTAAATGTAGAAAATAAAGTCAAACAACTAAGACTCAACCATGTACATAAAATATTTGATAACAAAACCCCCTTACTACATGCAAGGCAATTTTACTAAGATCAAAGATTGTTATAATTGCTCAACAAGATCTAGTGAACACTGAATACAATTTTTTTATACCAGCTATAAACATGATAAAAGGGCAACAGACTTTAACATTTTATTACAGTGCTATATGTATGTACTTCGAGATTCCGCCAGTGTAGACGCACCACTTGATTGACTGCAAGGGTACAGCGGATCCATGTACACTCCCTAAGGATTAATGAAGATGTGTCCTTTACAATATTAACCCACCACCAGAACAATCCCCACCCCAACACCGCCCAGGGGAGCGTGTAGGACACCAGGAAGTCTGTTATTATGGTGGAGGAAGCCGAAGTACTCGGAGAGAACCACCTGGCTTCTCGGCGGGAACAGACAACCCGAAGAGATTTCAGAAGATTGATCTCCAGGTCAAGCTGGGAACAACTTTGACCTACCGAGGCCCCCCGAAGTATCCAATCTATTTTAAACTCCGGTCTGGATACCAGGGATGTGTGTGGGAGGGTGAAAATCACCCTACTGATGTACTGAAAATTCGACATCTCGAATTCTCACTCGGGACCTTCAGCACTGTAGCCATCGGTTTTAACCACTAGACCACGAACCCACACAATATAAAGGATTGGAACTTGTTACCAAATGATTTAAAGAGCAACAAAAATTTGGCATCTTATAAATCTGGTCATGCTGGTGTTAAAAATTTTCTGTCAAAAAAGGAAAGCAACGATTTTAATAGCAAATTTTTATTTTATTGATTGGCTTTGATATTCTAGTCAATGTCATCGTAAATTTTAATTTTAAAATAATTAGTATAAAGCCTGCCAAAGTCATGATTTCTTATAACTATATTTAATATTTTTAAGAATGTAACATAAACATGATAAAGGGGCCCATTGGAAATAAGCCATATGGCTTTCATGGGCAATCCTGACTAGGTATAGTATCAGCAATTGTTTTAAGATTTTATGATTTTAGTATGTTTACATGTCTGCTATTGTTTTTATACTACATTTGTAATGTTTTATTATGATACTTGATCAAATAAATCTATCTATCTATCTTAAAATTGTAACATTTTAATTTCCATTTCTATATTTGAATTATCTCCCCTTAATCTTTTTAAAACATTAACTAAAATAAGTAATTTTTTTCTCAATCTTGACCTTAAATTCTCAAGTTTTGGTAGGTTAAAACATTTCTATAATTCTATAAACATGAAAAAAAAAATTCTGGTTTGCTAAAATTTTTTTCAATTAGAGTTAATTAAACCTTTTATCCCAAGAACTAAACAAAGAAATCTACTCTGCACAGATGTTGCATAATTGTATGTGCAAAGCCTTAAAAAAAACATCTGAATATCTTAGCATTAAATATATCATCATCAAAATAATTCACCTGCATAAGCATGATAAGTAAATAAAAAGATTACCCCTGACTGACTGTATATATATCATGTTCTGTATATACTGCCTATCACTAGCAAAACATGGGCTAAGCCATGATTGTTTTATCTACATGATCTAGGGGTGCCTGGTATTTTGTACACAACTCCTCCTACTATACCCATCCTTCGAATTTATTTAAACTTTCTCAAAATCTTAACTATACATGTATATTACCAAGTACAATGTATACGTAAATGACATTGTATACGTATGTACCTTCTATTTTGAATTTGGATCTGAATTATTTTTTGGGGTTCTATAGTAAACCAAATCATAGACTCTGCCAATTGCTTTATTATAACTATCTTGGCATGAATGGGGTGCCTATTTTATATACAATACATATTTGTATAACTCCTCCTGAACTCCTCATTTTAACTTTAATATTGAAATTCATCAGAATCTGGAATATACAATGTATACATGTACATTTTCGTACATGTATTATGCCAGTGTGCACCTCCTATTTTGTTTTTTTTTCCAAATTATTTTTAAGGTTCCTATTATATAATTGTATTCTTCTCCATCATGTATACAACATTGTACAACATGGACAATGAATATAAACAAAATTAAAATTTTTCTAATTAAGAAATAATTCTTTCATTGCACATTACATGCTCTATGCTCATTTTAACATGGATACATAGGTATTATATTTGTCAATATCTTTATACTAAGCGTTAGTAAGGTGTAAAATGTTGACAAATATAATGCCTACCCATGTTTAAATAATCATAGAGCATGGCATGATAGAATTATTTCGATTCTAATAGGAAAATTAAGAACTTTTGTACTTCGAAGCAAACCGATAATACACGTGTAAAAGGCATCCATTTTGATTTGTTGAAACCAAAACGTTATAGAAATCAACCGTTTCACAATAAGCAAATGAACAGATACATGTAAACTTACTTTTAGCATGTTTAGAATGATTTAATTTAAGTTCCTAGCGAGCAACACCAAAACAATTGTCCATTTTGATTTCCGGCGTTGCTCAATACACAGCTGACGTTGCAATTTCAATTGTGAAGTCAATCACGTGCAGCCCATGTTTTATCAGAATTAGATCATGGCTTTGTTTCCAAAGCGAAAGAAGAACGTCATATTAGAATTATTATTCTAACATGTCTAATTAGTTGTTTGGTATGGATTAATGATCTAATTGGAAAACACAGTAGCCAGTTTAAAATATTCAATCTACTTTTCTATAACTAATTGGGAGTGGCTATTTTAATGCCCCACCTAAGGGCATTATGTTTTTTAGTCTCTGCATTCATTCTTCCATCCGTCCTTTCGTCCGTCTGTCCCGCTTCAGGTTAAAGTTTTTGGTCAAGGTAGTTTTTGATGAAGTTGAAGTCCAATCAACTTAAAACTTAGTACACATGTTCCCTTTGATATGATCTTTCTAGTTTTAATGCCAAATTAGAGTTTTGACCCCAATTTCATGGTCCACTGAACATAGAAAATGATAGTGCGAGTGAAGCATCCGTGTACTATGGACACATTCTTGTTATTTCATGAATTTATTGATATGTGATTTCTTCAAAATAAAAGAAAAAAATCACTTGATCATCTGAAACATGTGAATATTTCCTTTCTTGTAAAATTCTATTCATTTTTTAAGCATACACAATTTTATGTCACACAGCCAAAAACATATGGTGTTTACATTTTGATAAAATTGAGAATGGAAATTTGGAATGTGTCAAAAAGACAACAACCCCAGACCAAACAGCTGAAAACAGCCGACGGCCACCAATGGGTCTTCAACACAGCGAGAAAATCCCGCACCCAGAGGCGGGCTTCAGCTGGCCCCTAAACAAAATGTGTACTAGTTCAATGAAAATGGAAGTCACACTTAACTCCAAAACATATAAATGAACTAAAATTAAAAAACATACGAGACTAACAAAGGCTAGAGGCTCCTGACTTGGGACAGGCACAAAAATGCGGCGGGGGTTAAACAATTTTGTTTTGTGAGATCTCAAACCTCCCCCTATACCTCTAGCTAATGTAGAATAAACAAACACACAGTAATACGCACAGTAAAACACAGTTTAAAAGAAGTCTGAGTTCGATGTCAGAATAGGTAACTTAAGAAACTAAGCAAAATAACAATGATACATAAATTAACAAGGGACTACTAGCAGATACTGACATGCCAGCTCCAGACATCGATTAAACTGATTGAAAGATTATGTCTTCATCAGATGAAAATCAGGCACAATCCCTCCGGTTAGGGGTTTAGTATCATACCACCATAAAATATATGAGAAGAACATCATAACCTGTATCATGCCAACAACTGGTTTTAGAATAAATGTGTTTATTTCCAATGCAAAGACCCTATGAGCATGATGAGTGAATCAATATTAATACCAAAATATGCCATCTTTAATGATCTGACAACAGTATCATAACCATATCCCTTCTGAATAAGCCTGTTTAAAGGTTTGGTTAGCTTTTGAGGTGAATGCCGACATTTTTGTGCTTTGTAAAGAATATTACCATAAAAAATTGGATGTGAAATACCTGAACGTATAAGGTGTCTGCATGTTGATATATATTTACGAATGATGTCCTTGTACCGATGATAAAATTTAGTAAATGTTTTGACTAGTTTGTGATATCGAAAACCTTGGTGTAATAATTTTTCAGTAAATAACATATACATCTACATGTAATATAATCATTGAATATACATTTGTAAATGTTAAGGTAAACAGTATAGTGTTTTTTTTAATTTCTAAATATTTTACAGGATGAAACAGGAAGTCCAGGAATTGTTGTTGGTGTAAGTGTGAATGGAAAAGATGTATGGAAAGAAGGTATAAAATGTGTCTTACTACTTTTTCTTTTTGGGTCATTGGGATGCTGTCTTATTATCTATTGTGCAGTTTTCTATTGATTCTTAATGAATTTATTCACGTGATATGTACATGATGCAAAGCAATAATAAAACAACCCAAGCATTTCTGAATTTATAATATTCAGTTACCGGTAGTTTTTGATTTTTGATACAGTAGCTGTGATGGTGTGGACAGTTGGTTAAAATTGTGTTTGAAAATATTCAAATGCTAAACATACTACTTTTCCAAACAACTGTGGATTCATCATTATTCGTTGGATATCAATTTTCATGGATATCATGGGTACAGGTGAACCACAAAATTATATGTTCAACGAATGACAAATTTTCTATAGTCTTGTTCATGCAGACTTCGGCAAAACTTCAAAACTATATATCCACAAACGTATTAGTTTTCCTTTATCCACAAAAATTGGTACCCACGAAAAATAAATGATCCACTGTATGTTAAAGTTAGATTCATTTTATACATATGCAATGTACATGTACATTTATTCTTATATTTTGCACACTGATACACCGCAGCCATAATATATTTCAGGTCTTGGATATTCTAATGTAGAGAACAGAACACCATGTACTGCAGACACAATATTCAGGATAGCTAGTATCAGCAAATCTATCACCATGGGAATGGTGGCTAAGTTATGGGAAAGTGGTGTCCTTGACCTTGACAAACCAGTTCAACATTACCTGCCACAGTATCCTGTTAAATATTTTGATGGTCAGAAGGTAATTTTAAAAACAATTTAAGAAGTCCAAACCTTATTATTTTCAACTAAGATATTTAAGGGAATTTGGCTTTGATGGCAGATCTTCAATAGTCTCAGTTATATTTATTTACAAATTTTGTAGAGCTTTACAACCCTACAAGACACATTTTTTATGTATTGTGTGTTGTTGGGATTCTGTCGTATTGACATGTACCCTACTTCTCCTTTTATTCGTATAGATTAGCAATCAATCTATCAAAATATGCCAATCATTAGGGGTGTAAGTTAAACAATGTTTAAGTAAAATTTGTCAACTGTTACTTATAGTCAAATATTTTTTTTCTCCAATGTTGGAGTATTGATGTCCTTGTCAGGAGACCTGTCAATGTAGATTTCCATTTTATTTTGATTTGGTAGCTCTTGTTTATATCTGTATATAGGTGATCTATTTGTACATTATAAACCTCTGTAGAGTTATCTTTCTTAGTATTGGTATAAACATGATAAAAAGATGTGGTATGATTGCAGAGATCAAATATCAAGTAGATGTTACTAACTATCATGACTATATATATGTCACTGTATGGCCTAAAAAAATGGATGAAACCTATACAGCATAGCAAGCTACAAAAGGCCCCAACATGACAATGTTAACCAATTCAAACCAGGAAATCAACAGTCTGTTTTATGTACAAAAGGTTAAAAGAGAAACAAATATGATATACTGCAGCAAACAACAATCACTGAATTACAGGCTCCTGACCTGGGACAGTCACATATAGAATGTGATGGGGTTGAATGTATTTACATGTATCATAATGGTCTAATGCTGTTCTGATTGGTTTCTCAGAAGAAAACTGTTTCTGTAAATTGAGAAATTATTGCGTGCATTTTTTATTGTGATTTTGTAAGAATGGACAAAAATGTGAAATCAATTATTGCAATTTCAGGAAATCTGCATACAGATATACATGTATATGAATTTCTCATGTATGTATCAGATATCAGAATGCAAATTTTTATTATAATAATACTCACCAGTGGCATTATTAACATTAACATGATTAATAAAAACCTCACAATAATTTCTGAACTTACAGTAACTAAAACTAAAAAGTCATACTGAGTAGTGATTACTATTGAAATGAATGTTCACTAATTTCTGCTATTTTTCTACAGGTTGACATAACAACAAGACAATTGGTTTCCCATCTAGGAGGAATAAGACATTATGATAAAGACTATATAAAGAAAAATAAAACTGTAAGTTCAAATAAATCAATTGAAATAATGGTATATAATATATTATTATTAACTTGTTAAGACTTCAGAAGATAGAGTTCCACATGAGTTCTGTTTGTTGAAATCCATGATCATATCCCTGTGATTACATTTTGTGAAAGGGAGATACCATAGAAAGGCTTGTATAGTTCGCAGTGGTACATAGTCCATATCCCTGTGATTACATTTTGTGAAAGGGAGATACCGGTAATTAAATTAACTTACTTCAATATAGAAATATTTGGTAATAGTCTCTTGGGGATATCATTTTGTGAGTACACTTACAGTACTGTTGTAGTTTTGCAGTTTAAGATTACTACAGCTGGCTGATTTATTGTATGATGAATGGTTAACACACCTCAAAGCTGATTAGCTTTTTGGGGCATCTAATATAGAGCACTCTTTTTTGTTATCTGATTGGACAAAACTTTAAATATGACCTTTTTAGTTTTAAACTTTTCAGATTAAAGATATTGAAAACTTAGAAAAATCTTCGAACACAAACACAAAAGATAATGTTGACAAATCAGACAAGAAAGACAAAAACCAAACATCAGATAAAAAGAAGGAAGAAAGTAAAGATGGAAAGAAGAATGAAAACGAAAAGAAGAAATCTGAATTTGAAAACAAAGAGTATTACATACAGAAGGCTTTTACATCTATTACAGAGAGTCTGACTCTTTTCCAAGATGATCCTCTAGTACATAAACCTGGTAAGACATTGGTGAGAGTCTGGATGGGGTTAACAGGTTAGAGAATAATGGGCCAATACTACAGAATAATTAGCCAGAAAAAATAAAGAATAGAGAAAAAAGGGTGCTAAAGTATAAAGAATAGAGAATAATGAGCAAAAAATATAAAGAAGAGAAAAAAATGACATAAAAAATTAATGAATAAAGAAATGAAGGACCCCATCCTGACCCTCATTGGTAGATGTAACATTTATCCTTAAAACATGCAAACCTTAAATGGCACTTTTTTATGAGCATATTCCATGAAATATTCTTACCGTGGTATGTAAATTTCTTTGTTTATTTTGTGAATCTTTACTTACCTTGAGTGCTGGAGGTCATATAAAATTAAGAGATTTGATATCATTGTCATTGAGACAACTATCCAACAGAGTCTAAATAATGTGGTTCAATAGACAAGTATAAAATAAGGAGATGTGGTATGATTGCCATTGAGACAACTATCCAACAGAGTCTAAATAACATGGTTCAATAGACAAGTATAAAATAAGGAGATGTGGTATGATTGCCATGGAGACAACTATCCAACAGAGTCTAAATAAAGTGGTTCAATAGACAAGTATAAAATAAGGAGATATGGTATGATTGCCATTGAGACAACTATCCAACAGAGTTTAAATAATAGGGTCATAAAGACAAATGTAAAATAAGGAGATATGATACCATTACCATTGAGACAACTATCTTAACAGATTCCAAATGATGTGGTCCAATAGACAAGTATAAGATTAGGAGATGTGGTATGATTTCCAATGAGACAATTATCCAAAAGAGTCCAAATGACATGAATTTAAGTAACTATAGGTCACCATACAGCCTTTAACAATGAGCAAAGCAAAATACTGTAGTTTTGATCCATGGACAGGTTAAACAAAAGACTTCAATACTTGTATTGGCTGTTTCTCCTCATAGCAAATCATTTAGAAAGAAGAGCATGGACTGGTCTGCTTAGAGTTGAATAATGTTTCTTGGTTGAAAGACATGGGTCATTGATTCTGTCTAAATAAGCTACATGTACCTTCAAACATAGAGAAAATCATTATGTAAAAATGTTATCATTTTACCCTAGAATAATTACCTTGTCTATCTGTGTGTGTGTGTCTGTCCATTCGTTTATCCAACAAATATTTCCATCACACTTTTATTTATTTACCCCACATCCTTTTATTAACATCCACATACATCAGGTGTCAAGCGAAGTAAACATTAAATAATTGCATTTTGTTTAAGTCTGTATGATTTATTGTCCTATTCCCTAAATGTGTGTTCCTCGTACAAATCATTGTCCTATTCCCTAAATGTGTGTTCCACGTACAAATCAATATTAAGGTGGTACCAAACACCTTGACTAAAATTAATTTGGCTCGTTTAATTTTCATAAAATTTTGACAAAATATTTACTTTGACCCTTTGACAAAAATATAAAAATTTCAAAAAACTTGAACCACACACTTTATCGGAAAAATTTCATTGGATATATAGCAGTTTGACAAAGACTAATTTTGATCATTGTGAAGCTTTATATTTCCTTAACAATAGAACGTGATTAAAACGTTCAGCTGATTATTACAGAGTTATCTCCCTGTAGTGTTATGTACCACCTTTAAGTAAAATATATTAACCATTGGCTTCATTTGTGCACCTTATCCCCATCACTTGTCGTCCTTCGTCTGTCGCCTTTGTTGTTTGATAACTTTTACAAAAATCTTCTCCGTTGAAACTAATGAGCCAAATTTAACCAAACTTGAACATAATCATCATTAAGGTATATAGTTTAAAATAACTGTCTGATGACCTCCCTTGCAAACCAAGATGGCCAACATGGCTGAAAATAGAACATAGGGGGTGAAATGCAAGTTTTTTATCTATTTTCTTGAAAACCCTTATAGATAGAGAAATTTTGACAAATCAAAAATGTTCTGAAAGTTGAGATCTACCAACTGGCCACTTGCATCAAAATTGTAGGATGACTTCTAAATTTTATAGGAGTTATTGCCCTTAAATGAGGAATTTTACCTTGTTTCATGTTTGCCTATTATATTGTAAATTATAAAAGATAGACAGAAATTTAAAATAGCAAAAATGATCAGCAACACAATATCTACAAATAATTCAACATGGTCAAAATTGTCAGTCTACTAAGTAGACTCTTTGTTGAAGTTATTGCCCTTTACTGACGATTTTTACCAATTTTTTGGCATTTTTGCTTATAATTTTGCAAACTTTAATGACAATTTATGTTTGCATCATTCTCTGAAGGTTGAGTTGTCTGTATCCGGTAATTACCAGGGTGGCATTGTACTAGTTTATAAATGAATTAATCCAATGCTCTTTTCAATTAACGAGGTATAGCTAGACCCTGCTATTATATACAGTTTTAAAAATAGAGACAGAACAGAGGAACTGTTTAGATAAATTTCAACCGTCAAAATTGTTATTTGTATTTTTGCTTAATCTTTAGAGCTTCTGGAAGGGGGGAGGGGCTTTGCACCCCCAGTTCCTCTAGTTCAGCCTTCCATACCTCTGCCTTGCACTGCAATGCACACAGAACCTAGCTATGCCACTGAGGAAGACAGTTTGTTCATGTTCTAATAATAACATACAGTTAAATGGAATAATAATTGTCTTATCTTAAGACATAAATTACAATGATAAAGTATAGGTTTAATTTAGCAAGATAAATGTAGTTCAGGAATTATAGCTCTTTGGATATTGATAAAAATATGCAAATGACTTTTACCAATTTCAACTTTAGCTTTTAATGCAGAATTTATTTATTTTCTAATCATCTACTGTGGATTCATTTAATTTGTGGATTGAAAAAAAATTGTATTCCCGTAGAAATGCCATTTCATTGTTTTTCTAAAGTTTGTTTACAAGCCTAAAGAATTTTTTCCTCATCAAACATTTAAATTCACGTTTCATGTAAACCACAAAATCTACAAAAATTGGTATCCCACAAATAATGATGAATTGACAGTACCTGTAATTATACCCCACGCAACGGGTTGCGGAGGGTATAATGTTTTGACCCGTCAGTCCGTCAGTCCGTCCGTCAGTCCTGTTTCTTGTCATCGCAACTCCTCTCAAACCACCCAACAGAATTTCACGAAACCTTTTTAGATAATAAGGACATACTATGTAGTTGTGCATATCGGCAGGAAATTGCGATTCAATTTTTTTTCTAGGAGTTATGCCCCTTTGAACTTATTTACTTTAATGTACCACTGCAACAGTTTGTCATCGCAACTCCTCTCAAACCACACAACAGAATTTCATGAAACCTTTTCAGATAATAAGGACATACTACGTAGATGTGCATATCGACAGGAAATTACGATTCAATTTATTTTCCAGGAGTTATGCCCCTTTGAACTTATTTGCCCAATATACTACTGCAACCTTTTGTCATCGCAACTCCTCTCAAACCACACAACAGAATTTCATGAAACTGTGTAGATAATAAGGACATACTATGTAGATGTGCATATTGACAGGAAATTATGATTCAATTTTTTTTTCTGATACAATTTTTTTTTCTTACACTTATTTTATTTCTCCAATGATAATGTGGGGACGTGGGGTATGTGAGCGCGCTCACTAAGGTTTTTTCATTTTAAGAATGTTATATTTACAGGCAGTAAATTTCTGTATACCTCACATGGATGGACCTTAATTAGTGCTGTGATGGAAAAGGCTGCCAATAAACCATTTGATACATTAATGAAGGAGTACTTCAAGACATTAGGACTTCAACACACATATCTTGAAGAAAATGATCCACTTATTTACAACAGAGGAAGGTATATAATGATTTGAGTATTGTAAATTCTGAAATTATTTGGTGGTTTTTATTAATGCAAAAAATGTGAATCCTTGAGTATCCCAATAATAAAAACTCACATTCTGATTTCTGATATACCTGTAGATATATATATTCCTGAAATCGCAATTATTAAACAGGCTTTTTTGTTCATTTTTCAAAAATAGCAAGAATAAATGAATGCAATAATTTCTCAATTTACAGTATATTGAAGATGAGTAAACATGGTAAAAGGAATACTTGTAGTTGTGACTAATAATTTGATCAACTTGTTCAAAGCTTCAGAGTTTTTCTTTTCTGAAGAAGAACCATACAATGTTGTTAATAAGATAAAAAAGTTAACCAAGGATAGTACTAGTTTGCAAAATGTGCAATAACTCGTCCCTCCCCCCCCCCCCTAATTTTTCTTATGGGCGAAAAATTAATGTATGTCTCCAGATTCCCTGTCCGATATTTTTTGGTGGGCCTTTTTTGAAAGTGAAAACTAATACATGTATATATATATTCAAGCAAATTGGAGAGTTCTTATAAGCAAAATATATTTTTTTGATTTTTTACATTAAATGAATAGAAAATGTTTGTTTTTCTTCTGAACTAATGTGGTTACCAAATTTCTTTGTATTAAAACACAATCTTTTTTTTGTTGTAGTCATTATGTGAAAAATAAGAAGGGAAGAATGATAAATGCTCCATATGTCAACAATTCTTACAAGTGGGCCGGAGGTGGATTTATCTCAGATGTCACCGATCTGCTAAAATTTGGAAACATTATGTTGTATAGCTATCAGTATGATGCAGATAGTTTGAGTGGTGCAGGCAGTTCAATAAAAGGAAGTATCCCTAAGGGAGATAATCCAACTAAGGAAGATAACTCTAGATCAAAGGATGAGTCAGAATCTGTGAATAGTGTAGTAATGGGAAATAACTCAGAGAGAAAACTTTTACCTGGATATTTGAAAAGAAAAACAATGGATATGATTTTCACTCCCGTAGATAAAACTGAGTGTTCATGGGACAAAGATGGGTTTTACAGCATGGGTTGGGCTGTTGTACCAGAAAAGTATGAAAATGGTTATTGTAATCATCAAAGGCATTACATGTCCCATACAGGGGGTGCTATAGGTGCTAGCAGTGTGTTACTTGTCTTACCATCTCAAAACTTTGGGAAACCAGAAAAGACAAATTCAGGAGAAAAATATGCAAAGCTGCCTGATCCACCAAAAGGGATTGTTGTTACTGTTATTACTAACATGGGATCTGTTGGGTTAAATAGGGTTGCTCTTGAAATTGCAAAATCATTTGAATCTGTTGAGTCTAATATTTAACAAGTAAAAAATGTATATATATGAGGGTCTGGATGGTGTTTACAATTTAGAGAATAATTTAATAAGGCTACAAAAAAATAGAGAAAAATAGGCAAGCAAAATATCAAATATAAAATGGGCAAACTAAACATACAAAATAAAGATTATAGAAAAATAGTGTAAAAATAAAGAAAAATGAAATGAATACCCCACCCCATCATCCTGATTCCTCATATATTTATACAATCATATGAAGTGAATGAAAGTAATATTTCATAAATCTGATTCAGAAAATATGTCAAACAGTGAAATATATAACCAGCTTCAAAAGAACAATTTCTTAAGCATTTTATTTTGGAGACAACAGTATTATTTTAGCCAGTATTAAAATTTGCAAGACATATTCAATAGTTTATATATAAATTAGTCAAGTGCACCAGCACCGTCTGTTGGTACAAGCTAGTAGAGTAATCAGGATGGATACAGAAGTATGCTGTAGTTGTTGTAAAACCTAATAAATCTAAACTACAAAAATCATATAAAAAGACCACTGCATCCTGGTTAAAGCAAGGGCACCTTTAACAAATTCTTTTTTTTTTTATTGCCTGTCCATGCCATGTAGGGTTTTTTGGGCCAACAACACAAGACACAACATGTTTTAGACAAGAAAAACAACGTTAGAGCATGAAAAAAACTTTTTAAAAAGATTTAAAACTATTTTTGCATCATCAAATTTTTTAGGTCGATAGGTAGGCAACATCAAACAACGTCAAGTTTATTTTTGGCCCAAGGATACTATTTTATTGTCTTTGTGTCAACATGTTTCACCACTGAGTGGAATCTTCAAGTCACTATAAAGATATGAAACGAACAATGAATTTATTTTAGTGAATTTAATAAATGTACTTCAGGACAATGTAAAGATAGGAAAGGATTAAATTTACTTCAGTATTTGTTTCCTATTTTTATATTGTCCTGAAGACGACTCTAAGTGGTGAAACATGTCAACACAATCAGGACAATAGATAATTTCCCTGCTGTAACCAGGACGTTGATTGTCTTTATATAGTTTGACTTTATCATGTTTATTTATAAATTAAGCGGTTTTCCTAAACTACAATGAACAAGAGTCAGTTTTTTATGATACTGTAAATTCCAAAGAAATATCTATAGTGTTTTGATTACAAATGTATTGCATTAAATATATGAAATGAATACTACTGATTTTAAGATTATCCACCTCATTTTATGGACCAGTGATCATGGTTAAGTTTACGTGGACAAGTTCGTATCTCAGATACTAAAGCAATATGTCCAAAATATTTGGAGTATGGAATGATTGTAAAGTGTACATGTCTGACAGGCAGGTTTCATTTGACGTTGACCTCATTTTCATTGTTCAGTGGACAATGTTTAGTTTTTGTGGTTTTGTCTATTTCTAAGATGCTATAAGCAATAGACCCACTATACTTTGTGTGTGGAATGATCGTAAGGTGTACATGTCTATCTGGCAGGCTTCATTTGACCTTGACCTCATTTTCATGGTTCTTTGTTCAATGTTAATTTTTCATGGTTTTATCAGATACTATAAGCAATAAGTCATTATATTTGGTGTATGAAGTTGAGAATGGGAATGGGGAATATGTCAAAGAGACAACAACCAGACCAAAGAGCAGACAACAGCCGAAGGCCACCAAGGGGTCTTCAACACAGTGAGTAAATCCCGCACCCGGAGGTGGTCCTCAGCTGGCCCCTAAATAAAATTGTGTACTAGTTCAGTGAAAATTGACGTCACACTGAACTCCAAAACATATAAATGAACTAAAATTAATAAAAAATACAAGACTAACAAAGGCCAGAGGCTCCTGACTTGGGACAGGCGCAAATAATCGGCGGGGTTAAACATGTTTTGTGAGATCTCAACCATCGCCCTATACCTCTAGCCAATGTAGAATAAAGAAACACATAGCAATACGCACAGTAAAACTCAGTTTAAAAGAAGTCCGAGTCCGATGTCAGAATAGGCAACAAAAGAAACTAAGAAAAATGACAATGATACATAAATGAACAAAGGACTACTAGCAGTTACTGACATGCCAGCTCCAGACCTCAATTAAACTGATTGAAAGATCATGTCTTCATCATATGAATCATATAAAAATCAAGTACAATCCCTCCTGTTAGGGGTTTAGTATCATACCATCATAAAATATATGAGAAGAACATAACCTGTATCATGCCAACAAGTGGTTTTAGAATAAATGTGTTTATTTCTGATGCAAAGACCCTATAAGTGAATCAATATTAATACCAAAATATGCAATCCTTAATGACTTGACAACAGTATCGTAACTATATCCTTTCCAAATAAGTCTGTTTAAAGGTTTGATTAGCTTAGGATAAAATGATTAAAGTGTACATTTCTGTCTGGAAGGGTTCATATGTCCTTGACCTCATTTTCATTGTTCATTGATCAATGCATATGTTAAGTTTATGTGATAGTTGTTGTAAAACTATCATATTACAGACTTTCAACATAAATTCAATTATAAGTATAGCAGACAAGACATCTCAGTGTGTGCATTTTTGTTCCCATTGTTTAAGGTCATACACATGTGCTTGTTGTCACAATTCAATTTTTAACATCAGTTATGTTTTTAAAAGAAGTTGGAGATCAAAATGGACATTTCTGTGAGAGATGAATTTAAGAAAACTTTTAAAAGAGTAAGTCGGTTTGTCTTTTTACAATTGTAATTGTGAAACACTTGTGTCCATGCTATATCAGGTTAAAGTGTTTAATTAATGTAGTTTACCGTGAAGTCTTGGTCACATAAACCTAACAGTAGACATGTTCATTATGAGGTAAACTTTTTGAAATTATATGTCTAATTCAGGTTTGGTCCCAATTTCACAGTTCATTTAACAGTCGGGGATAATCAGCTTATACAAGTCATTTTTATTTACCTGAAGATGTAAGTAATATTTACTTGTATAAGTAAATTTGAAAGATTTTTATTTTATTTTCAAAGTTTGAATTATATCCCCTTAATCTTTTCCAAAAAATTTTCTAACTATACAAATCTTTGATATAATAAATTTTTTTTTACAACCTCTTAAATTTTCAAGTTTTGGGATACCTAAACAGAATTTTATTGTTTGGTAATTAGTTTTTTAATAAGAGTTCAACCTTTTATCTCAAGAACTAATCCATTGTGCAAAGATGTTTAGTAATTGTCCAAGGACTTCAAAAATTGCTCCCTGAAGGCTTGTAAATGAGCAGTATTTTGAAGATAACTTACAAATGAGATTTTCATTGTTCATGAAATTATACTTTTATGAATAGTAAAGACAGACAATAAATCACTCTATTAGAGCACTGAAGTCAAGAGAAATTCAAGAGTAGAAGAAAATAAGACTTTTTTACTTGTATAAGTAAAAAACATCTGAATGTCTAAGGGATATAACTCTCCCTCCAAAATAATTAACCTGTACCAGTAGATAAAAAACACTTGTACAAGTATTACCCCTTTTTATTAAAATGGGAATGGAAAGTGTCATGTCCTATGGACACATATTGTTGTTATAAGTCTATTTTCACTTTATTAGACCCATATTGGAAAATGGGAGCATAAGGCCTTACGGTTGCATATAATTGCTTACATTCACTTCATTTGAACTTTGGTGGATAGTTGTCTCATTGGCAATCATACCACATCTTATTTTTAGCTCACCTGGCCTGAAGGGCCAAGTGAGCTTTTCTCATCACTTGGCTTCCGTCGTCCGTCTTGGTCATCATTTGCCGTCGTCGTCTTCGTCGTCATTATCTTTTACAAAAATCTTCTCCTCTGAAACTACTGGGCCAAATTTAACCAAACTTGGCCACAATCATCATTGGGGTATTTAATTTAAAAAATGTGTCCGGTGATCCTGCCTGCCAACTATTTTTGATGATGATTTTTACCAATTTTTTGCGTTTTTGCCTTATATCTTAAAAATTATAAAAGATAGATAGAAACTTAAATAAGCAAAAGTAATCAGCAAGATAAGACCTACAATAAAGACAAATGGGACGAAATAGTCAGATGACTCCTTATTAGAGTTATTGCCCTTTAATGATGATTTTTACAATTTTTTTTGTGTTTTGCCTTATATGATAAAAATTATAATAGATAGATAGAAATTAAATAAGCAAAAAAGATCAGCAAGATAAGATCTAAAATTAAGACTATTGGAGGAAATTGTCAGAAGACTTCTTATTAGAGTTATTGCCCTTTAATGATTTTTACCATTTTTTTTTTGGCGTTTTGCATTATATGATAAAAATTATGATAGATGAATAGACACTTTAAATCACAAAAATGATCAACAAGGCAAGATCTACTAACAAGTCAAATTTTGCGGATATAGTTAGTAAACTGTCACTCTTTATAGGAATGAATGCCCTTAAATGAGGATTTTTTTTTACCCTCTTGAGTTTTTAGCAAAAACTAAAGACGATACAGAGAAACTAAACAGATTAAATGATCAGCAATACAAGATCAACAAAATATAGATTTTCGTCATGAATTCTATTCTTGTCTACAATATTGGAGAGTGCCCTTTGTTGAATATGCCCATAGACCAAGGTGAGCGACACAGGCTCTTTAGAGCATCTTAGTTACTTAGATCAGATCTAAATTAGTCTGTGTAATTAGATGCTGATAGAATTGTAATTGGGCTTAGAAAGAGAACACATAGATTAGTCTGTGTAATTAGATGCTGCTAGAATTGTAGTTGGGCTTAGAAAGAGAACACCTAGATGTATATTATACAAGGAATGTGGTTGGGAAGCTCTCCAGAATTGGCAATAGAAAAACAAATAGTTGTTTCTTCATATAGCTATTTCTGAATATATTCCCAATTACATTGCTGCAGATGTCTTGTCGTATGCAAACACTAATGTCCAGTATGGTCTGAGATATTAAAGGGAATTTACAACTCCTCAATGTCGAACCACAGCCTATAAAAATAGTTTTATCCCACATACTCTTGAAATGTGGAATTCACTTGAAAGAGAAGTAAAAATAAAATATTATAAGCTATACAGGATTCAAAAGAAAGTTGAATGAGGATATAAGTTGCTATCAAGGTTTTTCCCACTGATACACAAAAAATCAATACAATTCACTGTCAGTTGAGAAATGTGGCTCAGTGGCGGATCCAAAAGGGGGGGTTGGGGTTCCGAGGGTTGGACCCCTTTTTTTGACGATCAATGCATTTGAATGGGGACATACATATATTTGGAACCCCTCCTTTTCTCCTGTGTTGGAACCCCCTTTTAATGGCTGGGTCCGCCCCTGATGCTAGTGGTCTAAAGCATCACATTTCTCTGACCATTTGTTGGACAGGGTAGAAGATAAACCTAGGTGTCCGAAGTTGCTTTTTTTTTTATTTAGAGAATTTGGTATTGATAGCAGATATTTGGTTCTAAATTCACAAAGTATTTGGGACATAGAAATGTTGATATATGATGTTATGCATTATTGCCTCGTTTTGATCCTTAGATGTCAGTTTTGGAATTATGATTACAAGGTATACCAAACACTTATTTCAACGTCTGGATTATTTGTATGTAATATTTGCTGCTGGGCATTAAAACACACAACAATTATCAGACATCAATTAAGATCAAATGATATAGTTTTTCGTGAAATTATTAAAAATAGATAGAAATAAGAGCCTTATTTCGTCGTAAACATCAAAAGGATGATTCAACACAAACTTTCTAACAAACGTGATGATTCAAGTTTCCATATGTACAGAGAAAAAAAGAGTAATTTCACCATAATCATTAAACTAACTAAAGGATGTTTTCACAAAAACTTTTTGACAATCCTTATGCTTTTAGTTTCCTTATTGCGAAAATTCGTGTGACTTATTGTATCATTTTGCCTTATAGGTTTTGCTTATTGATAAGATGTATACATATTAATTTGAAATGGAAATAAATGATATACAAATGTGACTTCCGTGTACATTCAAACAGAGTGGTTAGCCCACATATTTCAATTGTGACATTGTAAGAAAGGCTATACACCTGTGACTTCCGTGCACATTCAGACAGAGTGGTCAGCCCCCATATTTCAATTGTGACATAGTAAGGAAAGCTATACACCTGTGACTTCCGTGCACATTCAGACCGAGTGGTGAGCCCACATATTTCAATTGTGACATGC